GGAGATATTAAAAAAGAAACCAAAAAAACCAGAAATTTGGAAATCTACTTGACTGTAGTATCTTTTTCTATATGTCTATATTTCAAGGAATATAGGATAGATTTCTATTAGGATATCTTGTAGCCCTGAAATACAACATGCTTGGAGTATTGTTTAGCATAACACATGTTGCGAGTTCCCACTAAATATGGCATTTTATCATTAGTTTTCCAGAGGAGTTGTTCTAAGGAAGTTAATTCACATGTCATTCATTATGTGTGACAACAGAGGGAAGCTTGATAGGATTATCCCACAGGATATTCTGGTCCCTGATTAACAGCATTGAAAGTGAAGAAAATTCCGTAACATAAAGACTCAAATCTTAAGTCTGTATAGAGCTTGAATAGAGGAGCCTACAGTCTGTTATATAAAATTAGTGAACACAATAGACACATCCATTATTTTCTCTATTTTTAAGTGAAGCTACTGAATTCATTCTTTTTGCTATTTTGTATTTGTGATTATAAGATGCTGTCCTCTGCTGTTTGCAAAAGATTATACCAGGTAGAGTCACCAGCACACAGTGAAATAAAATGATAATTCTGTTTCAGCACCCAAATGCCTACAAATCAGTATAGGAGAACTAACAATTCTCTATGTCCATAGAACAAACCTGTCCTGTTAGCACAGTGCCCCTCTTCTCCAGAATATCTCATTGTAATGACATTTGTCCTGTCCTTGCTTTATGGTAATTAGATGGGCTAATTGGAAATGTGACAATGTAATCAATTCATTACTCATTAGGCAATTATTTCTTCTAAAAGAACTTTTATTAAAATTTTTACTTGAACACATACCTTGTTATTGTAGACAGGACCTGACAACTTCAACTGAATAAATACATGCATGTTGTTATTTAACAAGTTAATTTGCATGTATATTTGTATGACAGTTATCTTATTTACTGTAAATCTCTTTGAGTAAGATCATTTAGTGACAAATGTGACAATTCCATTCCCCCACAGGGGTACAGATTCACCCCTGGGATTCAGGTTGATAAGGACAGCTTGCGTTCTTATGATGGTCTTAGGTGTATGGCCCCTGTTCCCCAAGCCTAGAAATTAGAGGAAAAGTGGAGGAATTGGAATGGAGAGATCTGGATTCAAAATTTGGCTGTCATCTACCAAGCCTGTGGCTCTAGCTTTACTTTCCCCATCTTCAAAATGTCTCAGGGGGCTGTTTTGAATTTTAAATAAGGTGATGTACATGATAATTCAGCGAAAGACCAACCCATATAATCACTAGTTGAGTATGAACGAAAAATGAAAGCAAAATGACTAATTCAAGGTCCTACAGTGTAGTTTGAATAGGCAGCCGAGGTGAGAAGAGAAACTGGAGCTGCTGAACGGGAAGGCAAACAGGAAAGGGGAGCCTTTTCTTTTGCCTTTTAGCTAAATAGCACTGATCCTTACCTGCTGCTTTGTTTGATAGATTAACTCATTCTGAAAGACTTTAACGACTGTAAAGGTAGATAGCTAATAATCAACCGTGAAAAACAAATCATTGGCCCTTCTCGTGCTGTCAAAGTCCCTAGAAAGAAAAATTTCATTTCAAATGGCTTCTAGCTTACTTCCGAATTAGAGGGTAGACTCCTTGGTGTCTTTCTAGAGCTGCTGGTGAGTACATTTTTTAATGGTTTATTAGTTGATAAACTGTAATTGACATACAAGGGTAAGAGCTTCAATAGACAAATTAAAGTTTTAGTCCACTGCCCATTAGTCTTTTAAACCAATCAATACAGCATTCATTTAAAAATAGAAATGGCATTACCTCTCAACAAATTCACTTTTTGATGCAGTTCATAACTGCATCAAAGCTCTCCAAATAGATGAATAAATTATAATAAATCAAAATCCATGTGTAAAGAAAAGCCTTCTTCTTGTGGGTACTGATATCTGAAATACATATTAGAATATGTACATAATACCCAAAAAATGTGTAGGTGTAATACTTTTTATTTTTAGCTGTAAATGAGGAAATGTGTATGTCCTATAAAGAGAACAGGAAAGGGGGAAAAAAAGAACATTTCATGTGAACTTGGATATGCCTCGGATGTCCCCTTAGTAAATTTTCTTCCTTTTTGTCGAATGCTAATTCTCATTATGAATTGTCATATAAAGACCCAAATGTTAAGTATGTATTGTGCTTGAAAAGAGTAACCTACAGCCTCTTTAAAACCGTTTTTAAACTAACTACATATTCTGATCTCTGAAAAATAAAGAAAATCGTCACAGAGATTATTGTGCAGCTTGAAACAGAGAAATATTTCTTTGCTTTCTCCCCCAGCATATATAATCTTTTATTGTATGAATTACCACTCCTTATTTTATTCTTTTCATATTTCAAGGTTACATAGCTGAATGACATACAATAAGTAATCTTACCTAACAGAAAGGGCCTTAGGACAATTATGTAGTGAAGAAAGAAACCAGCATAAATACGATATTAATAAGATGACCCAGTGAAATTGAAATGTGCCACCAGCCTCACCTCCCGCCCCTTCCTAACATGACTTGTTGGAAAAACCCACAGCCAGGAGCCAGGGATGTTGCAATTGAGTTGTCAAACTGTCCTGGATGTCTTGTACAAACTGAACAGGCCAATTACTGCAACAGTTGCATAGGCTGAAGGTTCCTCTCTTGCCTATCAATGCTTCCTCCTGGGGAGATTATCCTGCTGGACAACAGGGTCCCTCCGTAGCAGGTGCAACGCCTAGATTCCTTCGGATCAGCCTATCCTGTGTAATAATAGTACTGTGTTACCTTTACCTTGTGACTAACCTGCTTAACTAGGCAGGGGAAAGGCTCTTGCCCTGCAATCAGAAAGCTGAGCAGCTTTGTGTGTTTGGTGAGATTTTTGAATTCTAGTGATTATTTGATTTCACTGTCTTCCCCATTATAGCTGCAGCTCCTGGCTTTCAGGATGAAAACCGGCAGGCTTTTAGCGGGGATTCGGGGGGGGGGGGGGGGGAGGGGCGGAAGATAACTTTTTCACACAGACCCTGACTTTCTTTACCTATTACTTACCTCGGAGCGTGGGGGTTGCTTTGAAACGCAGCTGTTCTGACTCTGCCCTCCAGGTGGCAGCGGTGCCCCACTGCAGAGGCTCCAATCCCTTCGTCCCCGACTTCAAGTGTTAATGCAATTGACCAATCAGTGCTAAGATGATGGGAGGTAATTGGGTAATTGTATTTTACTGATCACAAGAAGAGAGAGGGGAAGGAAAGAGGGGCAGAGGAGGGAAGGGGACTGCGGTCCGAGAGAAGATTTTGGGAGCCAAGACCCTAAACGTCGGGACGTGGCATTGGCTGAGGGAAAGCTTAGACTCCGGAGCTGCTGCCGGCACTGGGAGCGCATTTGTTTATTTGGGGGAAAGGAGGGGAGAGAGGCGCGAGAGGGAGGGAAGAGAGTTCAAGCCGAAGTGGATGGACGGACACCGGGGTTTCTGCCGCGCCGGGAGCCGCGAGTCGGGGCGCTGGGAAAACGTCGGCTCCGAGCAGCTGCGCTCCCGAGAACCGTCTCTTCGCTGAGGACGGGCCGACGTCGGGAAGGTCTGCGCCAAGAGGAACCAACTTGTGGCTCCAAAATGTACCCGACGCAGCTGGAAATGAGATCAAAGCTGCAGTTTCATTCGAGAAGGATAACAGCAGCCTGCGATTAGGGATTTATTTTTTCGTCCCATTTTCCTTTTTCGTTCCACGTTATTTTCTAATTTGCCTAACACCCCGTTGGTCCCCGCACTTCGCCTTCCCCATTTGAAATAAAAGCCCAGTTTGAAGTTTTTTTCGCCGCGGCTCCCCCGGACCCGCTGCCCGCTGATGGAAGAAAAGGGGACCCGGGGGCTGGCAGGGGCCACCGGCGCGGGAACGCGTCACGCGTCTCCCCCGTGATCCCGGGCCTGCTCCCGGACTTCTGCAACACCTGGAGGAACTGGACCGGGTGCCGGGGTGGGGGCGGGGACAGAGGAAGCGAAAGCCACCCCAAGCCTTCAAGAAATAAAAAAAGTAGAGGGGGGAGAAATGGGCTTCTTTTTGACAGCTGACGGAGCCTTGAAATTTTTCTCCACTACCTCCGCCCCCGCCCCCGCCCCCCGCACTCCATTTAACGTGAGATTATGAAATTGCAGAGGCGGTGGAGGGAAGGAGACAGGATATAACAGGGAGTTTGGAGAGAGAGGGGAAGGTGCTTGGCCGGGTGGCTGAAATCAAAAATCCAATTGCGCACTGGGTTGTGATGAGAAATCTAATCAGATCTTTGAAGAAGGGGCTGGCCAGAAGGGTGGCAAGTGGGGAGAGTTGATCCCCAAATTCTTCCAAAGAGGGGTTGGCTAGGGAGAGGAATTGACAATGTAAAAGGACACTTTTTTTTTTTTTTTTTTTTTTTTTTTAAATTTTGGTGGCGGTGGCGGTGGCGGTTGGGTGCCTTGCAAAAATGAAGGATGCGGGACGCAGCTCTCTTTTTGAACAGAACGCAGTGGATTGTGCAAGAGAGCAGGAAGAAGGAAGCTTTTTCTTGTGAGACCTGGATCTTAACGCAAACGTGTATATGTGCACACTGGGAGTATTGAAAAATGAAATAGACCAGTGTCAAGCCCGCGGGAGTTGGTGGGCTCTGACATAAATAAATAATAATAAAACAGCTGACCCCCCCCCTCCCCAAAAGGATGATTGGAAATGGAGAACCGAGGAGCCACAAAGAAAAAGTATGTTCTTTCTTTTTCTATAAAGGAGAAAGTAAGCCAAGGAGATATTTTTGGAATGAAAAGTTTGGGGCTTTTTTAGGAAAGTAAAGACCCGATATGGTGGTGTTTTCGAGGAAATTAATAATACATCTGCAAAGAAATTTTGGAAAAGAAAAGTTGACCGCGGCAGAATGAGGCATTGATTGGGGGAGAGAAACCAGCAGAGCACAGTTGGATTTGTGCCTGTGTTGACTAAAATTGATGGATAATTGCAGTTGGATTTTTCATCAACCTCCTTTTTTCCTTTTTTTTTTTTTTCTTTTTGGTGTCAAGATCATGCGTTTTCGCTTGTTCTTAACCACCTGGATTTCCATCTGGACGTTGCTGTAATCAGTCTGAAATACAGTGAGTGATCTATATTTTCTTATTTATTGGTAGAGAGAAAGGTTAATTAATTTAGCATTCCTAGTCCCATTACCCCCCTCACCTTCCTGAGTATGGTTGTTAAAGACATCATTCTTGGGGACTAGAGAAATAAGAGAGAAGGTGGCCCACGCAATTGCTCTGTCAGCCTGTGCTCAGGATAAGCTGGTTTGCTTTAATGATGCAGGTCGTCTGCATCCTGGGCAAACGCCTTTGCAAATGTTCATCAGGGAAGAAAAAAAACATCTCAAGAAAGCCACTGCAGTGTGGGGTGCCTGTATGTGTGACTGACGCTCTCGAATGCACTTAAGTTGCATGTCAGCCCCAGAGTTGGATGCGCACATGTTTAGCCATTGGAAATCGAAAAGGCCTAATTTAAATTTCATTATCCAACCTGACATTGCAGATCAACGGAATGTATTAACCTAAAGGTATGATAATAAACCCAGCAGATGAAGGATGGCTTCTGGCTCCTGGTGGACTGAGGGAGGGAGTGTGGGTGTAGGGGAGGAAGCAGTAGAGAGAGGTGATTACACTTTCTCCAGTCTGCCTTGCATACACATGCTCAGCTGTGGTCTCCAGATTACCTAGATTGTTGCCTGTGTGAAGAGTGAGAGAAGGAGGACCCACTTCTCTTCAACCCCACCTCCTTCTAAATAACCACTTCTTTGGATAACAGAGAGGCTCTACCTAAATTGTAGATGGCTTGGGCAGTTGGCTTGGGTTTGTCAGAAATCTTCCCAATATTGCTGGGGAAGGGCACTTGAGAGAAAAGCAGGAACTGAGTATCCTGTGGGGTAACTTAGGTAAAGGAGATAAAGAAAAGGTCTGTGTGTTCAACACTCGTGCTTCTCATGTGACAATTTTGTCTTGGGGGAAAGAGGCCAATTAAGACAAATAAGAGTTTGAAAGTGCTTCGAGAGCCTGAGGGCCTATGGGATCAACGCCTCTTTTCCTCTCCTTCCTGCTGGGGTCAGGGAGCTGGCTTCTTTCTTCTTTCTCTCTTTCTTCCAACAGAACTCTTTCTCTTCATCTTCTTTATTCCTCTCCGGGGCCTTCCATTCGAATCATAGACTCACATAACTTTATAGCTAGAAGACTTCCCAGAGATCTCATGCCAATAAAAAAGGAAACTCGGGCCGAGAGGGGCTGTAATTCTTTGGTTAAGGGTGAGTCAGGTGACTCACACAGGTCTCAGGACATCAGACAAAAGTCATCTGGGAATCCAAACTGGATAGGAATCAGCCATACTTGGTGTGGCTACTTCTGTCCCCACAGGTGCCATTTTTATCCAGAAGAGTCGAGGAGAGTACCTATCCCGAGAGCTTGAAATAAACTGCCACGCTGGGTCTCCAGGCTAGCCCCACTCCAGCATTCATATCCATTTTGAGTCTTTTTTTTTTTTAATGACAGAAAACCTTACCTTTAATATTATTTAAAAAAAAAAAAAACACAAGAAAAAAAGATCCACAACTCTGGCATATCCTGAAGGAGATGAAAGGCAGCCCCCTCTTGGGTCACTTCTTGGTGCAGGGCACATTTAATCCAGTGAATGGTGTTCCCTGGAGAGTCATTAGAGAATCATGGAGTTTAGAGTTATATTGGAGAGTGATAATAGAAACCAGAAACACCCTGCTAAAAGCATCTGAGCCTGTTCTTTCATTCACATCATCTATTCTTATCCTTTTCATTACTCCTTAACTAAACTAGCCTACAGCTGAGCACTTCTCTAATTTATTTTTCTGGACACATGTTTCCTGTTGGGACACGGATCGGGCAGTACGTTTACCAACCCCTGAAAATAGTCATGCAGGTTCCCCCCTCCCCACCTACACACAGGATCTCTGTCGGCTTCTGCACATCTTATTCCTGCTTGCAGTTTTTTTGTTTGTTTTGACCTCAGTTAAGTTACCACTGTGGGCATGGATGGACTCAAGTTAAGCTCCTGCTCAGTAGCAACTCAGCACAACTGACAAAAGAGAAAAAAAGGAAAAAGATGTACTTTGACATTTTTTTACTGCATATATAGTTTAGCTCTGGGCTTCACGTGGGAAGCCTCGCCTCGCAGTCAGCCTGCCTCTGCCAATCAGCAGAGGTGGTTTTGCTCTTCTTTATTTGGACATTAAAATGTCTTTTCCAATTAAACCTCAAAGTGCATTCCTCTCCTTCACTTTGTCACCCTCTCTGTCCACTCCATATTTACTTACACTTGCAAATTTTTCTGAATGAAATGAGGGAAGGGGTTGGGGGAGGAGAGAATGAGAGAAGGAGGGGCTGAATGTCTTTGAAACTGTGGGCTGAAATGATTCCTCCCACCCACCTCCACTTAGGCATGTTCCTCAGATCTGGAGATGATGGAGCATCCAAGGATATCATCATATTTCACCTGGTGAATCACTCATTTCCCCGTCTACAGTTTGGGACACATTGCCCAGTTTAGGAATTAGCTCCTTCGGTTTGGCAGTCAGAGTTGGCTCCGCGTGGAGGCAACTTGTTCATGGACCGATGAAAGAATGATGGCCATGGGAGACCTGGAAACTTGCCTCATGAGCTTATTTCAAGGGCCAAAGTTGGTGCCCATTGAATAACATTTGTAAGTCAGTAGTTGTATACTGGGATTCTGCTGATGACCATAGGCCCAGAGGCAGCTAGGTTTTGCAAGTTTTGAAGTTTCCTTCTAAATATCTTTTCCTCCCATTCATCTGAGAGCTGCATCCTTTGGGTCACACCTTTAATATCCTTGGCCCTCTGTTCTCTCATCTGTGGGCTGGGAAAAATAACAAATTAGAATTCTACTAATGTGAATTGTTGGTGAACTAAATGTAATGTTATGCAAAGTCCCAGGCATAGCAGGCCCTCTAAAGAGAGCTGTTTGTTATGATTGTTCCGGGATTAATTTGGATTAACTTCTTGGGTATAAATACAAGCTGGCCAAACACTTTACCAGTTCTAGTGGCTACAACAGACGTTACAGAAGTTGCCAGGTTCTTCTTTTCAGATCTTAGCGGGACAGACTGGCTGCAATGTGTCATTTTAGATTGAAATGCCGCTTCAGGCTGGAAACTGAAAATCGAAATTTTCTCCTTAAAGTGCAGAAAAATAAATCTCAGCAAAGAGAATACTTAAATGAAATTTTTGGAGGAAAAATAATATTCTTATTGTGTTCATATTATTTTGGCCTAAGAGTTGCATAGGACAGATCTTATATATTAAGTGGATAATTTTAGCTACCTATTAGATTGTCTGGACCTGGAATGCACAAAAGAAACACAGGCTTCCAGGCAATAATACAATTTAAGTTAGATGGCATAAAATTCGATTACTGATACTAAGACCCTACTTTCATAATTTGGATTCGCAGTCTTTCTAGTTGTAATGAATCCTGTGTTAAACATCTGCACTTTGTGATATGATAAAGACCTGGTAGTTATTGGAATCAAGACTTCATGTAGATGTAAGTGCCACATTGTTTGCATGTACAGATCTTCCAACACCAGCTCGATGATGGTTTTCTGAGGCAGCAAGTAGTGGTCTTTGCTCAAGATTTCATTCTCTACAACTGCAGCTCTCTGTGATTGGTCCATTTCCTCAATATGCTTCCAGAGACGTGTCCCTACTTTGAGGGAAAAAGAATCCTATTATTGTAATTGTTTTTATTCTTGATGCCGTATCTGTAGGCAATAACTGGATAGTCAGACTGAGAATTGCCCACTGGATATTTATATTACTTTTTTGAGTTTTGGAGACGTGTCCTGAAATTAACCATCTTCACTGACCTTAAGGAGATAACATCTATGGAAGAAGTTCTTACAGCGTGATAAGTTTTACTTTTTTGTGTGTTTCCTACATGTGACTGAGAAATCCGGTAAACTTGGACTCTGGCATCTTAAGTGAGTTTGAGTACTCAGCTCTCTACTGGGTCACGTGTGTTGCACGCACCATTTAACCTCTCTGAGCCTCTATGCTTATCTGTCAGATAGAGGTTATAAACAACCACATGGATGGAGTCAGATAGCGTATATCAGGCAGAGCAGGCATTCAATAAATGTGCATTTCAATGAGGCATCTCTGATTTTAGGTTAGATAATCCATAGTTGGCAAAAAATAAATACGATCTTGTTTGAGGGAAACTTCTCTAAAATCATCTAAAATCATGTTGGTATAGAGTGACAAAGGAAAAATACATAGACAGGAGTAAGGTTGGAATAATGCAAATGGATGCAACCATTTTTGTCATTTTTTGTAAGATCCTACACTTTTAAAACATATTTGGACATGCTTTATTGAATGGTGTTTCCTCAGGAAAGACTGAAATATATTTCGTGAGTTGTGGAAAATATACTCTGTGTCCATATAAAGTTTAATTAGATTATCAAATATTTTACCATACAGGCATAAAAACAATAATTTGTAAACGATACCTTGGAAAACTCTACAAGGGGGTCAGGATCTGTTGCATCCTCCTTCAAAATTATTTTTCTGGAGAAATGTCAATTCGCCTGTTGAAACTTGGTTGGGCAGATCTTGTGGCTATGACAGTGTGCCTGTAGCACTGTCTTAGGGCAAGGATTTTACTTGTTCTCTGCCATGTCCTCAGCCCCTCAGAGAAATGTCTGAGTAATAGTGTGTGTATGGTAAGTATTCTTTGACTGACTAATTGAACTTACTTTAAGAGGCATTTCCTCCAAAGACTCAAATACATGTACATACCTATGCCACTTATAGAAGCTTAATAAGAAGTACTAGTAAGTGTATTGACATTGTGTGTGTGTGTGTGCGTACAAATATGGCATCATGCGCAGATAGTAAGCACCATTGAATGGTCTCCTTATGTTGGGAAAGCTGAGATCTGAGAGTCAGGTGATGAAGTGTATTTATTTTTTTATTCTTTTTTTAAATTAATTAATTTATTTTTTCAAATACATTTGTCTCTGCCTACCCCCCACCACTTTCCCTTGCCCCCTCCCTCCCTCCCTCAACTC